CAAGTGATATTCATTCGTTCAATTAGCATTATTCATTCATAATTGTCTATCAGTTCATAAATTTCTGAAAATCTTTCATTTCAAAAAGTCCAAAATCAAACCATTCAAGCAAATATCACACAACTGTGATACCAGTCATCACCGTCGTTCAACTGAACCGCACCATTGAAATTCGTTTCATATCGTTTCCAAGGCAGTATTGTCGAACTATGCGGAACAGTTGCTGATTCGAAGAGAAAAAAATTCATATACTAGGCAGAATTTCACCTGAAGGTGATTCGATAATCTCGACAGAATAATCGATTCATATAAGTGACTGCAAAAACGAGGACTGCAAAAACAGCCGTCACCGTAAGTGCACTCGGATTGGATCAAACACGAAATATGTCTGAAGATGTTGATACGCACATCACTGATAAATATGAACTACATAAGCGGCTCGGTAAAGGTGCTTACGGTATCGTTTGGAAAGCGATCGATAGGTTAGAAGTTTTCTTATTACTCAGAATTGACATTACTGAACGAATTTAGCACATTTTTTATTGTTATGATTGGTGCTGTTGTTACGAATATTCATTATTACATTCAATATTGAGAACAGCCATACATGTTCGGCGATAATTCAGTGCACTTTTGCTTTAATGGAATCGAAAAAAAACTTTTTGCTCCATTCGCTAATGAGTAATATCATGTTCGCCATATGCAAATGAGGATGGATCACTTATTGAGAGATGGTAATTTTTGATTTTAATCTTTTTGATCTGCGATTTTGATTTTACAACTGCGTTGACTGGCTTTTTCGAGATTTTTTTGTGCAATTTTCAGCAAAATTCGCAACTGAACAGCAGCAACAGTACTAACGATATAAATAACGGTAAAAAATAATGATGATAATAGTAATTCATACAAAAGTTTAACTGGTATTTGATAAATGAAGATGTGATTGATATCTTTTAGGAGATCGAAAGACACTGTTGCATTGAAGAAGATTTTTGACGCATTCCGCAACCAGACAGATGCGCAACGAACGTTCCGCGAGATTATGTTCTTGCAAGAGTTCGGTCGGCATCCGAATATCATCAAGTTGTACAATATTATCAAAGCTGACAACGACAGGTATCGCTACCTTCATCCATCTCCTTTTCCTATCTCACTCGGATGTTCCTCTGAAGAAGTGAGAGTAGAGAAACCGTATCGTTTTTATTCGAATTTGGTGTATGTTAACGAATAATATTCGGAGATTGACTTTTTTAAAATGGGACTCTCAAAATTAGTAATCGTCATATTTGTTGAATCCATTCAAAGAGCTGAAACGTTCACCAAAGCTCAATAGGCACACATTACCAAAGTGTCGATCTCATAAATCGCCCATCAAGCCATTTGCACCCTTTTCAATGCATCCCAGTCCAATGACACCCCCGCAATCCTATGTGACCATTCCGACCAGGTATGG